TTTGAGACTGTCGAATCAAAAAGATCAGAAGGGACAACTGGTATGATGCTGCTTGTTCCTGACATAGGAACTGTAATTATACTTCTCCCCAAACACAACCATTTGTTCTTAAAGAAATACTATTTATTGAAGTGTGTTCAATATGATTTTGAATTTTCACGTGTAATTTTGAAGGTGTAAAACAATGCTTCAGGTTGTGACAAGGTAGACTCAAGGAACTGAAACATCTACCCTGCTAAGAATTAAAAGAATAATAATCTGAACAGCTCTGCTCCTTATTTTACTCCCCTCAACAGCTGTAGTACACTGTACGTACATTACCAGGGGATAAAGACAGCTGAAAAGCAGGTGACAAAGTTGTGTGCCACACAGACTCAGTAAAAACTTACGCTCAATAACCATTATCTATTCATAGGAACATAAACACTTTGCTTGACCAGAAGACCAAAACTAATTGATTTGCACCTTTTAAGCTTGAAAGGACAGAAACTGTATTTACAATTTGAGTAAGTTCTCTTTTTATTCAGTCTGACAGGAGTTTTGCAGTTGACTTAAATTACAGTATTTTATAATTAGTGAACGTTGATAACGAAGTATGCCATAAGTGGATCTGGTGTGGGATATTATTTTTTTTTAAATCTATTAACTTGCATTCTTCCCCAATCATTTCCTCACCTTATCTAAGATTAATTTTGAATAAGATGCTGAAGTTGCTCCAGACATCACACTAGAAAATGCAAGTCAACATTACAAGTCAAGTTTGTTTGTATTTTCCCAGAAACTGAAGAAATACTCATGTCATTTTCCCATAGCAAAATTAGTGCTGAGTGCAATATAAAAATACCTTTTATTTGAAACCAAGGGGTAGCTGTTAAATATTACTTCACAGAAGTACAGAAACTAATTTAGCAGTTAATTTAGCACTTAGCTACTTTAAATGTGTTAAGGGGATGTATAGGGGAGTAATTTAATACGAAATCTGTGCCAGAGGAAACATGCAATCTAGCTTTTCAAAAGCCAAGGAAAAACCTCCTCTTCCCTTGAAACTCTGTGTAAATCTGAGTGGAAGTTACAGATATTGGATTATTTCCTTGGATAAATACATACTTTAAGAATTGGCTAAACCAGTGTTTCTTAATTTTCCAAGTTTTCTCAGGCAAATAAGACAATGAGATACTTTACAGCGATAAGTGCTACAGTTGCAAGAACTAAGATTAAATCAGACTGCAAACACAGGTGAAATTCTGATTCTGCTGCATTCGATGACCTAACTCCCACCGGCCTCAATGGGAACAGATCATCCTGAGCAGATGAATATTTAAGCACTTGCAGGGTCTCTTTACCCACTTCACTTAAATTAAGCATTTTGCCTCATCAATAAAAGGTTGAACTACTTTTTTTTCATCAATTTTAACCATACTCTGTTATGTTCTTTCTATCAAAAACTGTAAACATCAAGCATTCAGTAGCGAGGGATCCTCCACTTAAGTACATTCCCATTTGGCAAAATCTCTCAGCTATTTTTAAACTAAATTTACGCCATTTTGATGTACTGAGTTTACTTTGCTCCTGCTTCCTACTCTTAGGGGAAAATACACAGAAATATAAATTACCAAAGCTTGTCCTTCCTGACTGTACTGTGCAACCCAGCCCACGCAACTCATCTCAAAATAATGAATGTTTTCCTACAGAATCCAACAATGCTGAAATGCACAAATTTACTTCACATATATAAGTCAAAACCTAAGTGCAAGTCTCATCACTTGTTTCTGTTACATACACGTGGAACCAAAATTTATGCTGCTTAACAGGACTTCAGTCTCACACATATGCCGTGTTTTAAGTAAGCATAGAACTTTTAATTAAAAATATCATACACTTCTCAAAAGCTTTACCCAATTACACTAAATTGGAACTTTTTTTTAAGCCTCATTTCCCCCCATCCACTTTCCCATAAAATTTTACTTGGGAAGAAATTAATAAAATAAAAGCTGTCCTTTTGTTTTTTAAAGGACCAACCACCTACAGAAACAAAGTAACCTCTTAAATCACTTCTAAAAGTTCACTTGTTTATGCAGTGATGCCCCCTGCTAATTCTCAAATACAGCAATAGCAGAAATAAAGCTGTTTCCCTCTTCATATTCAGACAAATTGCTGTGACTTTTTATTCCTGCTTTTCTTCAGATCAGCATTCCTGGCCTATCCTATACTGTCCTTCTCTAAACTCGCTTACCCCACCTCCTCTTTCAGTTCTTCTGAGAAAATCTACTGTGCTTTCACCTCTTATCCAGAGCTTGTCAACTCTCCAAGTGTGTGATGGTCTCTGATGTAAACTTTTCATCAGTAATTTGAAAAAGTAAACTTGTATAACATATTGAAAAGCTTCCTGTTATGGTAGGGAGTAGCTTTAATGCTTTTAATTCTCAAGGGTTTAAAAATTACTTACTAGAATTGGAACATCTTCCTTTTGCAGCACTATTCTTGAATACACATGTGCAAATATAATTTTTGTTGTTACTTGCTCCTTGACCTCCCAGATTCACAGCAAAATTCGTGTTTCTCTTCTGAATCCTATCACATTAATGAAGCTGAAAAAAACTACCAATTTCAAAGCTTTGCTTGGTAAGATAGTGAGAAACAATGGTAAAGACAAGGAACTCAAGATAGATAGAAATCTTTTCCCAATGGTAGCTGGGCAACACAACAGCACTTTTTTTTTTTTAATCTGTAGCCTTTTCCTATCACCATGTTCATAGCAGCAATACATGCTGCTACTTTAGCAGGCTATAAGTCACCTACAACTCCGATCAGACTGCTGTCTCCATACCCTTAAAATATTAAAGCTAGTATCCTGCATCTACATTTCACCAGCCTTGCTCAGCTTCACTCCCACATCCCCCAAACATATAGTAGCCAGAGGCAGTACTACTAAACACAATGACTGAAAGTGAATTTCGTGCTCTAATCATGGTCACTGAAGTTACGTTCTCCTCATTTTAAATTCTCAAGTAAAGACTCTCATTTGATGAGCCCACTCATCTGCAATCAATTCCTGATGTACAGAACAAAAACCCTAAGCCCACGAAGTTTCAGGAAGATCATGGGAAGTTCAAAAACCATGGTTGCAATGAAAAACTATAAAATAGAAGAGAGTATGACAAGAAACATTTGCAGAAAGTTTCACAGCCAATAGGAGCATTGAGACTCTAAATACTGAGCTTACTGCAGCTACTGGAGAGGAGCTAGCTTCTGCTCTCCCCACTTAAGCTTCTCTAATCAGCCCACCACTTCCATACTGTCCCCTCCCCTGTAACACACTTCTGGGTTCTTGCTTGTAGAACAATACAAGTTTTCCATATGCTTAGTTACCATGCCTAGCACTACAGACAAGAAAACCAAAGAAGAGCCATGCATAGTAGCCCCGCAGAGCATAGCAGATGAGAGTAGCATAGTAGATACTGAAGTATCTACACAGAATAGCATAGTAGATAGTGAATCATCAGTCTTGCTACTGAGCATGTCTTAGAATTTGGACCACATTGGATCAATTTTCATTAATAACTCTGTGCTCAGCTCCAAAGTACAGAAAACATTAAACCTCAAGACAGTTAATTTTTTTTTCTTAATATTGACAATATGCAATTTATTTTTACTCTAGTCTTAGAAGCAGTTTGAATTGTTTTTGCTGAAACTGAGAAAATTAGCCTGAGGAACAGTTCCAAATAAAACTGTCCATACTTGGCATGGAAAACTTCAGTCCAAACAGTTTAGCAACGCTCTACGCAGCTGAGAACAAGGTCTTGTGAAGGAAAATTGCAGGCGACCTTAACTATTATGATCTCTGCCTTTAAGTCAAAAGTATACTATGAAATAGGCATCTTGTAGACAACATACTTCATTGGCCATGAACTCAGCAAAACTTAACAGAAACTAGTTCAGTGAATCTCTGATAAAAATCAATGATTCAGACATTAAAAAGAAGCTGTCAGCGCTGGTCCAGTTTCTAGTAGAACATTTTGCCAAGGGAGTCTTATACAAGAGACGTTATTTACTACCTATTCGTCTAGTTAGGCTGTGGTTCCAACCTTCAAAATCCACACACTGTTATGAGACTATAAATATAATTTTATCCTGCTAGATTAAAACAGGGGTCAGGACTACAATGCTATAGAAGCTGAATTTTATACCCTTCCCAAGGGAAGGGTCTTTTTTCAAAAGACGACAACACATATCCCTTCTGTGCTTAAACAGAACATTAATCTGTCCAGAACTGTTGGTATGACACCTTTGCAAAAGCCCTGAATTATTTTTAGATAGATAGATATTTAAAAAAAAAAATCTGTAGATTGAAATAATCTTCTTTTGATCAGATAGCCTGGAGCAGTAAGTAATTCCATTTGTATTTCCTACAGCAACTAACATTAAATTCAGCACCTGCAAAACTAATATCTGACTAAACTAGAAAGCAACTAATATGGAAAAAGAAATCTGATACTAAGCTGGCACACAGAAGATGTGAAAGATTTAAATAGAAAAGTTCATGTGAAGACTGTCAATAGGCTCTATATTTAGGAGTTGCTCTTGATGGAAGTATATTCTAAGACCAAAAATTGAAGTCTAAGGATAAAAAAGGTCAATTTGTTACGAATTGAAGACTAAATGTTCCAATCCATAAACTAGGAACAGTTCCTTAATATAGAAAAAAATTAAACATCCCATTTTTTAATGGAACTACATTAGAATATTAAAAAAACCTTAAAGCTTCTTTAGCTATTATAGGTTCTCTATTTCTCAAGACTGTAACCTCACTAAACAGAACTTTTGACTACTTTATAGTGTACCGGCTGAGATTATACATAAGATTTAAACCTAAATTCCTCACAGAATATCCTCATTCTTCATCTGAAATAAAGATTCTCTCTCTCAAGGAAAAACTCACCCAAGAAGACTGTACTTGCAAGGGATGTTGAATACAAAAGGTATAGGATGGAGGACTACAGAAGAGGAAATAACAATGAATCATCAGGGATACAAAAGAAAGTGCAAGTCTGAGACAGAAAACTGTCATTTCACTTACAAATATTTATTAAGGCTGTAGTAAAAGTAAGCCATTCTAAAATTTTTGAAGGACATTTTCTTCTGGGGAGCAAAGGCAACTTAATATTAATATGAGAAGATAATTCCTCCCAGCTGTTTTTAACTCTACTTCTTTTTGTCACTCTGAAGCACATACTATATCACTCAAAGCATCCAAAGTTTAAGGTTGGAACTGACCCCAATAGATTTAATAACGTTAACATTTTACCCATAAGCAAGCTTTTGAGGCCTTCCTGTAACATTTCCACAAAAGCTTAGGTTGAACACAGCACCTGGTTTTCAGTCAAATCCAAGCTCTCTCTCAAGGGCTTAAGTAAAGAAAATACTATTGTTAACACCAATTTCAGACCTCGTACTTGAATGCTGAAACTGCACAGTGGAAGGTCTTCTTAAAAATGTCTTATTCTGGTATACTTTGCCACTGTAAATCTCAGCCCCACAGAGATTGTTATAACCATCCCTCGCCTATGGTTGAAAGATTTTTGGACCACTTCACAGTTCCTTCTGCTGTAAGGGCCAGAGTTTTCTCTGTGGGGAAACAGTTTAATTTGGAAGTGAATACTAACTATTTCTTTTCATATATTTGTTCTCCGAGTATGACATAGGAAATAAACCTGTGGTGACATGCAGCTTCCCAAATAGATATTCACTATTGAGAAGATCACAGAAAGGCATCAGGAAATGTTTATTCATTCCAGCTGCACTTGACCTGTTTGGTACACAGGAAAAAAAGGTATACTTGCTTTACAACCTGACAGACTATATTAACTGTGCTAAATAAAAGCAATGAGATGTATGTTTTCTATTCACTATTTCCCACCTGTATTTTTACATGCTTCTTCAACGAAAAACGACAGGTAACAAGTATGCATACTTTTACTGTAATGAGTCATATCAGGTTCCAAGGTCAAGTTGCATCTCTCTTTTCAAAAAGGAAGGTAACTGCACGTGCCATTGCAGTCTTTTAAAACAAATTGCTATTGAGACAAAATTACCACTTCTTAAGACACTAAAAATAACACTTCCTTTGCCAGATTTCTTTAAACTCAACGCTCTCAGAATTGTCCATGAAGCGATAAAATCCTGCTGTTAACCAGCACATTATTTTGGCTGCAGATTTTTCAAAGGATTTGTATTATGTAAACTATAAAGTAACAAAATGAAAATGAGATCGGGGGAAAAAAAGCAACTTCAACTTCTAACAGGTTTAACAACTTTTTTTTTCTTTTAAATACAGTCACTGGGTCTTCAGTATTTCTTATTCAGCTTTCAAATAATACAGTAAAATGGACACTGTCCTGAATAAAAAACACATAGGAAACCTGCTAAATTAAGTGAAGAACACACTACTAATTTATTTTATGTATCCTGACATCAGTCAGGTTTTGCTGAGCTTTAATCTAAAAACGATAGATATCATGACACATAAAAATAAGCTGAATGTTAATGACACACACACAATCTTGCTGCCCCTCCTCTCAATCTTACTCCCCCAACTAAACCTCCAAAGTGAAGAGTACCTACTATTCGGGACTGTTACGTACTAGTTACAGATATATTTCTTCTCCTAGCAGTGATATAATATGCAGCCAAATTAAGGGATTTTGGTAATACGCAGCAGCAGTACAATTAACTCCAGAAACATGTACTTTTAAGATTATCTGTCTACAAGCTTTCAAACAACACAACTATGAAAGCATGTTACACAATCTGATCTGGCTATTTCAGTGGCAAACAAACAACAGTCCCTAGATAAAAGGAAAAAAACCCACACTATCTACCCAAGAAGGTACTTTTTAAAGTGGATGGGTAATTTTTATTTTTCTTCTGGAACATCTCTCCTTCCAGTAAAACAGATGCAAGTATTTCAGGCCAGTCTGACAAACCTATTGGGGAGCTTTAGAATACTGTTTATGCTTATTTTCAAATATTTTTTCTTAAAAGTGGTGACACAAGACAGTAACTATAAACAAGATGAAATATTTTAGAGCAGCATAATACCAAACTGCTTTTTCATCCACAAAACGCTACTTTTCTCCCAAAACAGGCTTCAAACACCTCAGATTTAACCATTTATTTCAAGATATCTGGAAAAGCAAAAAGTCTTAATCTAATTTCCTAAGTGAATGCTGAGCACCCTTAAGCATCAGTATAGTGACTGTACTTTCCTTTTTCAGCCCCTTCCTGGGAGCTGGCTACTACTCTGTAGATGATACTACATTGGCAGCATCACAACTATTACTGAATTCCATATTGGCTTTAAAGAATAAAGCAAAGCTTCATCTTCCCAAGACACATCGAATTAGAACAAGAAGTTTTACAAAATTATACATTTATAGAGAGAGCAAGCACTTTCTAGAAGCTTTTCTGGTTTGGGGGGCAGGGAAGGTTCAAGAGAGGAAGGAAGAGAGGGCACCTCAAGCAGATGGAGAGAAATCACCTTATGTCCACAGCTACATTCAGGACAAATCTAGCATCACAAACCCAAGGCAGAAAACACGCAGAAGAGTGCTGCCCAACTTTCTGCTGACTGGTTCAAATACTATAACTCATAAAAGTACATTTTGCCCACAATTTATATTCTGAAGCAGGTTTAGCAGGCAAGTCTTTAAATTTAAATCATAAGCATAAAAACAGATGTGATTTTCCTTTAAGAATTTAAGGCAATTCAAACTACTATAAAACTGCATAACCAAAGAAATTCCTCTGATAGTTTATGGACTCAAATTTCTGAACATCTGAGCTGCTGATGCCATGCAAAATTTCTCTGTGTTATAAGTAAAAAGCTGTAAAACTGCACTCACAAAACTATAAGACTTAATCATACAGAGTTAAAAATTTAATATTAAGTCCCAGCTCAGCAAAGAATGTAAACTTGGACATTTTGCTGATTTAAGCTGGAATTACTCCCTGCATAAAGTATACATGTTTAACTGTTTGCTGGATCACGACTCAAACTTTCTGAAGTCTGCCACCTATGTGCGATATTTACCAAGTGCTTTTACAAGGTCCTAAGTGTAGTTTTATAAAAATGATCTCTGAGGAAAATACACTGTCTAAACAGCATGTGAATAGCAGATACTAAATCTTGATTTCAAACAAATTACTCCAGTTATCGATCCCTCAAATCAAACTAGTGTACCAAGACAGGATGCAACTTCACAGAGAAAAGAAAGCCCATAACAAGCAGCAAAACCACCGCTGCTGCTGTTAAAAGTGTTGCAGCAGCTTTGGGTGTTAAACATGCTAAAAAAAAACCAAAAACAACTCCCCTTGTTACTCTCCTGCTCAAGCTTATCGGCATTTAATAACATTTCTGCTAATAGCCAGTTTTATGGTTCATATACATCTGCCACTCAAGAGTAGAAAAAAAAAATTGTCTTGAAATACTACAGACACGACTGTAAGAGCCATAAAAATCAAACAGAAAAAAATTACTTAGTATCTAGGAATATTTTTAAGTTTGCTGTATTTCATTCAGATTTTGGATACCTGCTGCAAATCATCAGAGATTTTTTCCACCATCACATGATGCAGCTTCAAAAACCTGAAGACTTTAACACTAGTGGAAGTAAAATTAGCATGCTGGGTCATGTTAAGGTAATACCTCTCCGTGATTTTTCTGTCAAATACTTTAATAAAAAGTTTATATTCTCTGCCTAATAACTGTTTTTGTCATTTTATAAAGAAGAAATATACAGAAATTTCTTTTGATGTTCAAAGGTGGGGAAGGTTGCAATTTTTTGTTTCATTTTTGTAATCTAACGAACTGAGTCTTTTCAGATTTTAGCTCCAGTACAAAGGATAAAACCTTCACTATCTATTTTAACATCAGCAATGCCAGCATCTACAATATTCATTCCCTTGTGAGCGTTCGCATACAGCGCTATGCAGGAGAAGGTCTCTGAGGCAACTCCCTATCATTAAAAAAAGACAGGCAAAACGTCATTCACACACTGTCCAAAAGTGATGGGAAGGAACAAATAAGCCAAACGCAAACTCTCTCCGGTAACTCAGGATATTATGCCACAGGCAGAGAGTTCCTCTTTGCAAAATCCCCCCGTGGGAGGAGCCACCACTCGCTCCTAGGTTTTAGTGCTCAGTTCCCTGCACTCCTAAACTCAACTTACCGTCTACATTTTCCACAGTAAGCCCTCAAATAGCACACCTGTCCGCCCAACCATTACTCCTAAGTTGCCCAGAAGAAGGGTGGCGAGTTAGAGGAGTCAGTCCCCGGGCAGTAAGCGAGAACCGACCTGTACGGCACTTGTTTACAGGAGCAGAGGAAGCGAGCCCATCCACGCACGGAATTACTCCTGGAAAGCACCGGGAGCGGAGGAGGACACGGCTAAAGGGTAGAGGGTGCGGGGGAAGGGGGACAAGCCAGGAGAGGCGGCGGGGGGGGGGGGGGGGGGGGGGCGCCGGGGAGCCCTGCGAGCGCTTCTGCCTCTGAGCCTTGCGCACCGATTTCCGTGTGAAGCCATCCACTTTCTCCGCGGCAGAGATGGCCGCCGACATGGCTGGGCGGTGAGGCGGCGCGGGGGGACGTCGCTCTCCAGAAGCATATATTAAAGCGGAGGGAGAAGCGGGCGGGCAAAAAAAGGGGCTTAAAAAAAGAAGCAAAACCAAAAGCAAGTCCTCCCTTGCCCTCGCGCCCGCCCGCGCACACCACACCGACGGCAAGAGGGGAGGAGAGGGCCGGCGTCCTAGCGGCGAGCG